TCTCAAAATCCCAATTAGTATTTTAGGAGAAATTCCTTTGCTCTTGTTGACTAAAATTACCCCGAAAGAGTGCCAGATGCATTCAGACATCCTCAGTACTTCTATTCACTCAAACACAATGGGCTGCAGTCTAAGTAGGCCACTGCAATAACAAACTAAATGTTCTCAAGATCCATTTGTCACACGGGGGACTGTCAGGTAACTCCACATACAGTACAGTATAGAAGGGCGATTAAATGGCAGCCTGTGATTGAAAATAAAGCATGTCTTCCTTAAACCTATTCAGATAAGGCAGCTGATGTCCTCTCCCACTTATAAATGCCCAGAGCTGATCTGCAACGTAAGAGTTGAGCTGTTTGGACTGGTGTGAGACACACTTAAATTATTAACACTTACACTACCTGCAGTTTCAACTTGCCCTACATAAATGATTAATATGCTCCAAGCATGAGAGTGTACAAAAGCCACCGTCTCCAGTCTGCTTTGTGACACAGCTGTTATGAGAAACACACAGAGACAGAAAATCAATTTAATTTCTCTGAAAATAAGGAAAATGAGCATTGATTCTTTAGATTCAAATGAAGCCATTGAAGCAACACTTGTCTTAAATTGCGGACAGAATGTTCTAAAGCAGGACAAAGCCCTGGCGTACATGCTCACCTCTGATGTGTTTCACACAAAAGAGCGATCTGAAAATCCAGTGTAAAATGACAGTAAACTGCGGGAGAGAGGAACATAAGTTCCATTTGGATGTTACTGGCAGAACAAAAGGCTTTAATGTGCCAAAACCGGCAATTTGTGTAACTCCATTGAGCTCTGAACCGCCATCATTCATTTAATGCTGAAGGAACTATAGCTGAGGTCTGTCATTAGCACTCACAGCTGTCCCTCTGACCACACACACGCGCCTCTTGCTGACAATGTCTAAAGTTACAATAAAAAACACTTAGCCTAAGAAGAAAGGATGACAAACGTGGACAAAAAGCCAAGCGCAATAATTAGCCGCAGGCTCTGATAACTGTAATCTGCATCACTCTCAACAGACAGTCTGGCCTCTTTCCTTAAAAAGACGCATTTATCTTGCTGTTTAAAATGATACAGGGAAGTAGCCAGATTTAATTAGAGGGATAATCAGGGGATTAATTAGAAAGAAAGAGTTAGAGAGAGTGAGAAAGAGAGAGAGAAAGACAGAGAGAGATGAAAACAAAAGGTAAATGTTTTTTTGCTGTTAAAATTAAGAAAAAAGTTCCATTTGAGTGATATGTGAAATGAAATACACAGATTTCCATTATAATTCTTCCTATCATACACTATTAAGTGTCGTCTTTTTAATAAATAAAATAATACATACAATAAAGCTGTATGTGTCTTTTAAGTTTAAAGCAAGAATTTATGGTCCTGTTTAATTTTCAAATATTAAAGTCTCTGTGAAAACGACAACATTCCTATTTAGATAATATAAACATTCAAAGCTTTAGGTGAGTCAGTTGTGATATGAAGTGAAGTTAAACTAATTTTGAAAGGAGTATGTGATACGATTGATCGCGTCTGGTCTACCATCTGTAACCAGCAATAACCCAATCAGATCGATCCAATCCTATAATAAATAGACCGATTTTATCCTACTGCATCATCTTCATTTTGGAAGAATCCCCCCTTCCACCCCATCTCCTCCTTTTCCAGGGGAAGCTCTTAAGACCAACCTGATCTCGGACCTCCTTTTATGCTAATTGACCAGCCAGGAGGCCTGGGCTTAAATATCTCCAAGCTCAGGGTTCTCTCCTGGGGCAGCATGCCAAACCTGCTGATATCGTCACACAATATCTAAGTGTGACCTCTTGAAACTGAATAAAAACTTTAACCTTTAAAGATTTTCATATGATCAGTTAATATTTAATGCATATTCACTTTTTTGACCACAGTGAAAAATTGCAACAGTCTTGATTTTTAAATTAAAGTCCTCTTTAGCATTAGAAGCCATTAGTCAAATGTTTGTGGTTTTGACTTGATTAGCTTATTTGGATTCTCTGACTAGTGGAAATTGATTTGCAGAACTGTGAGTAATGTAATTTTGCATTGGAAATATGCACTGTATGCCATGTGAAGAAGACAGACATACAGATTCATGGTTCAGGGTCAAAGGTGACCCATGGTGTTTAAAATGACCTTAAAGAAATTTGTTTTTTAACATTTCCGCTGTACTTCATGTAACAGATGACTCGTACAGTATAAACTGGCTGCACGGGAACTGTGATCAGTGCTGACATCAGCAATGACTCAGTGGAGGAGGTGGGGGGCTCGAACCCCCCCAATCAGCCATAACTCACACACATAACCCAGAACTCTTCAACTCCCAAACACTATCATTGCCTTCCACCAAACCTCTCTGATTCCATCCCTCCTTCTCTTTCGCTCTGTTTTTAAGGCTGGACCAGCAGGAGATTATCGACCTACTGTTCTTGTTTTTCTGCTTCATTCTCCCGCAGGGAATTTGTATGATGGAGTGTGCTCTTATTTGTCTTAACTTACACTTAACTTGGGGGAAAATATATAATATTAGGAAAATAAATAATTTTAAATGATCAATTAAAAAACTATATTTGTTCTTGTGTGTATATATAATTAAAAACATCAAACTTGATCATAAAACCACAAGAAATCACTCTAACACAGAAAAGAGGGAGACAGGATGAAGTGCATGTTTTAAGGGGTACAGGTTTTGCGTGTGTGAAGGTCAGGTTTTGTCTGCATTTCGGAGATCAAATGTCCTGAAAAGGGCTAAAACCTGACATTTGTAACATTGAAATGCTAAATGATGTTTGTGGAAATATAAGCATGCCAAATGTTTCTATAATGGGTAATAAATTCAGGATTAGTACATATAAAACATTACTTTAGGTCAGTTTAAAATCAACACAAATCTAAGGCAATTTCCACAATGATAACTGTACAAATGTGTGTGTGTGTGTGTGTGTGTGTGTGTGTGTGTGTGTGTTTGTGTTTGCAAGCAGCAGATGCACAAGGCCTGACTGCAAAACAGTCATGAAAATTTCTGCATTTTGTTATCAGTCATAAATATTAATGCAGACATTTCAACCACAGAGCTAGAGACAACTGTGAGAGTGGGAGAGACTGAAAGAAATAAGCCAAAAATGGCAAGTCGGTCTGTTATTCACAGCAAAACAAACAAAAGTGTAAACACAGATGCAAACTGAGTCTGAGGGAGATCTGAATCTGTGTAAATCTATTAAAGCTATCAAAGCATTTAACAGTTCACTAAATCACACAAGCTATATATGTTTATGCGATTCGTTAAAAGTCCAGCCAGAAGAATATTTTGGCATTACTTTTATATCTCACCCAAGATCACAACTCAGGTAAAATATGACTTGGTTTACTGTGGTGCTGTGGATTCAATAGTGATGCTAGTGATGCAAGAAGCACTGTGTTACATCAGAGATCATAAAATTTTAAAGCAAGCTTGAATAAATCTTTCAGTGTGCACGTGTGTGCATGTGTGCTGTAGGGGGGCATGAATTACAGGTGGGACGAGAGAATGCATGTTCACTAAATAGCTTCTAAATATATGCATGATTCCCCAGTAGACGTGATCCCCTGATGTTTGGACTAAACAGAAACCAGATGACAACTCTAACTGGGCTAATAGGCTAATTGCGACAGGGTGAGATTATTCACTGGCAGAACACCACAGGTCCAGCTCTGATATTTATTCACGTCAAAGAAAACACCATCTCTCTCCTTTCCCATAAGACTCGAGTCGATGATCATGGCCTAGTTTTTAAACCACACTTTCAAATGCTCTTAAATGATGTTTACAACATAGCTGAAGTTGGTGAGGGTGACCTAAACAGCCTAGGGATTCTAGTTTAATATCTGTATCAATCTCTAAGATGTAGTGAATATTAAGTTCTGTAATAGGATAATCAAAACTTTGCAGGATAAAAGGTCCAGTTGCCAATAGTATAGTGATGTTTGAACAAACATCCTTCTCTCAGTTTATCTTTAGATTAGTTTTTTTAGTCCAAACCCAATTTCTAAAACCATCCACCATTAACTTTCACAGACTAGGTGATGTACAGTATAGGCTGTGTCCAGTCAGTGTGATCAGCTAGTTATACATGAGATGTGGCTTAAATCTTAGGATGCTATCCACTGACCCTCACTGCTAGTGAAGTGAAATTTACTGAATGACATTTAAGATTTATAGTAATTCCTATAAATCTTGACATTGGACACAGAGTGTCTGCTTTCTGGCCTGTGTGTAAACATATTATTTTGAATTAGCCATGATATTTTTTATAAAGTACTGGTATTACCTTTAGTGTGAGAGAGAGAGCAAAACAGGACTGGAAGCCTTAAATGTAAGTGCTATATCGAGTCAAGAGTGCTCAAGGTTACAGAAACGAGTCGAGAACCACAGCTAGGGTCAGAGGTCAAAGTTTAAAAGACTTAAGTCACCTCAAGAGCCTTTAAGTGTGATTTTGATTCATGCAGCAGACATGATACCTTCCACCAAATGATGAATGGTGGCATAAAACACTCAGTAATACAAAAAGCATGATTTATGTCAGAAGAAATAAAAGCCTGATGACAGGTTATCTGAGTAAGGGTGTTTTTACAGCACTAAGTGCATGCAGTGTTTTTCAGATTTTGAGATTTACAAGCTTCAGTAGTGCTTAAAAGATCCTGTACTGAGCCAAATCTATTCCATTACACAGATTGAACCATTTTGAGCCAACATATCCTGATGTGTAAATGGTGTGTATGTTTTGGACACAGTGCGTCAAAATGTAATCCGCAAATCTGTCACTTTTTCAGAATGCAACATTTTCCACCTTCTCTGTGGCTGTCCAAGTGGACCTCTCAGATTGTAATTACAGTAAGTGAAACCCCTAAATTGTGGCACGATTTTACCTCTTACTCATGTGCTTCCCGAGTGAATCATGATGGATTCTGGGCAAACGGTAGTGGTGACTCACCTGTGATTCCGACATCACGTACAAGAAGTGCTGATCAGATGAAAATGCCATGTCTCGTAGGATCGGTCCATTGTCGACCACCTGGATTGTTTCATACTGTAAAGCACCATAGGTTGGACCATCTACCCGAATCTGAAAGAAGAGAGAACATAAAGACAGTGTTACTCGACCATTAATAGCTTACAAAAGCGTGAAATGGAAAAAAGCAGAGGGGAAGAGTTGTTAAGTTGTTAGACAGCTGTAGGGGACGTTACGTCCCATAAATCGCAGGTTCAGCAGAGAGCTGTAACATCCTCACACAGTTGGACCACAGTGATGGAAGTCTCATGGCTATATCTGAACATCTGTTGTTGCTGACGCAGAAGTGCACACTCACACTCTGTTCTTGTCTCGATATAACCCTATCCTCCCTCCAGATTTCATCTTCCAACCAAACACACACTAAAGGGCCCTGTGAGAACTTAAGTCTTTATACCTGCCATTAAACATTACAATGCACCTGATAACCCATTACCACAGAATGAATCATCAATTGCCTTTCCCTTTTTGACACTAAACAGTTTAGGAGGTATCAAGTCCATTCCCATCAGAACAAGCCACTTTATCGCCGCGTTTATGGCCTGGACTCCCATCAGACTGCAAGTCCTGTCAACGTAAGATCATCTTACCTCAAGAGACTTCTAAAATTATTTTAAGCCACCACTTCAAAAGTCCCTGGCTGAGTTTCAGTGATGTTTCAAGTGTTCCCTTTGGCTTTGCGCTCACTTTTTTTGTCCTGTAAGCTCAGGGTCACAAACAAAAATGAAAAAGGAGTCGAACAAAAGAAGAGAACAAAGTAAAGAGGCGGAAGAAAGCAAAAACCTTTTACACGAGCCAAAGCCTTATTCAGCACAAAGGTTATCTAATCTCCTCGATCAAGGGATGGTTAATTTGGCCAGGATTGAGTTTCAGCCAGGAAGAGCTGCAGTGTTTGGGATGGCAGCATGTGGACAGTGGAAGAATAAACGGCAGGAGGTCTTGTGAAGCCCCAGTTGGTCCCCCAGAGAGATGACATGGAGTGGCCCGACAGATCACTAGAGGGACTGAGAGAAGCGGATGGGCATTATCACAACTGTGCCTAAACAAATTAGCCACAGGGGATGACTATTAGCATATCTGTTAGCGTTAGCATAGAAGTAAGGTATCTGATCACACATAGGAAAAAGCATAATAAAAGCATGGCTATATTGTCATGCTGATACATCCTGTTGAACGCAAGCAGCATCTGGTGTTATTAATGTGTGATTAATACTAGTTTAATGAGTTTGATTTTTATTATTTTAAATTCCTAAGCCTTGAACAAAACATCAATTTTCTCCCTTTCATTTCAATATCAATAAAGTGGATTATTTTCTTTAAATCCTGATTGGATTACACCGCTAATCTGTCTATCACACAATCATTTGGATTTAATTTCAGTTCCAAGCCATAACCATTTGAACAGTTGCTGTTATCTCACCTTCTGTTACACTTTCTCTGGGTGTTTGTAATATCTCTGATTTTAAGAGAGGGAGAGAGAAATAAATATGGATTGCATTACAGTTATGATTAATAACAATCTGTATGCTCTCCGAATAAACAAATTAACTGTGGAGAGAACATAAGCCTGTACATTTAAGCTGTACTGTGTATGTTTAGTGTCCTGTAGAATCTCTGGTGTCTGAACACACCACTCCACAGTCTCAAAACATCTACCTAGTGGTCATGGACTGTAACAACAGAGACTAGTCATGTGAAATGCAGTATGTGAGGTTACACAGCAAGCTATTAGTGAGGTAGAATGCATAGTTGCTGCTATCAATACAGCATAAAGTTTGTATAAAAATAAAAAAGATGATGACTTTCATGACACAGTCTTGCTAGTTTGTGACTTTTGATGTAAAGTGTGGGTTAGAGCATCACACTTTCACAGGGCAGTTTAATAGGGAATGGCAGTTCGACTCTAGTAAAAATAACAGAAAGAGATGACGATGGAAGCCATAACAACAAAAGCTCTGCAGCTTCATAATGTGGGCAGGACTCTACTCAGCATCCATGGAAACTGCAATTTCCTCTGGCTCAAAACAACTTCATCTTAAGCCCTGCCATCAGACCAGCAGTATGACTTTAGATCAAGATTGATGGTGCAGAGAGTAGTTTCTCAAAAACTGTGGGATGAATCCACTAGGGGGAAAACTGTGGGATGAACCCATAACTTTTTTTACTAACCACTTGCAGTTTAGTATAACTTGGCACAAAAAGCCTTACTTTTACCCTCCAGCCCCAGTTTATATTTTCAAAAATCTGACACTGGACAAATCTTTATATCAAATTATATCAATACAGTAATATAATAAAATGTTTTATTTTTATATAATTAATTATTAATCATGTATTTTAAAATTAGGGCGGCACAGTGGGTAGCGCTGTCGCCTCACAGCATGAAGGTTGCTTGTTTGAGCCCTGGGTGGGTCAGTTGGCATTTCAGTGTGAAGTTTGCATGTTCTCCCTGTTTACTTGAGTATCTTCCAGGTGCTGTGGTCCCACTAGTTCAAAGTCATGCGCTATATGTAATTTGGATAAGCTAAATTGTTTATAGTGTATGTGTGTATGTCCTGGTCCTCCAGGTGGGGGGGTTGAGCATTGGGCAAACAATTAGATTAGATGTTACGAAAAATCAACATGGTGCGGCTAAATATTAACTTTGATATAAATGGCCCTGGAAGTAAGTACTTTTTAAAGATTAATTCATACAATTCATAATTTATTCATTGAAATATTATTGTAATATCCTGGTATCTGAAAAAAAAATTATTCATTTATTTGAATTTAGCAATGGTTAATTTCCCACTGTCATGTTACTGCATCACATGAAAAATTGACAAGAGAATTTGTTAAAATGCAATCCTGACTCAATCAAAATCCTTCAAACAACACTTTCTGTGATACTCGATTAGTCATGGCTGCCCTTTCAAATTCCCTCTCTTCATCTAGCTATTGCCACTGACTTAAGAACAATCTGCATAATCACCCATCTCAAGAGAACGCTTTACTTTTGCACCGTTACTTGCTGAAGCCTACTGTGAACTAAAGCATTTTGCACAGGAAAAGGAGCGTCTTCACAAACCCTAAATTTAACCTTGGCAAAAGCTTGCCATCTTGTGATCTTTCAGTGAGAGTTTCTTCCCAAATCTGCAGTCACTTGGGAGGTGTTCCTCCTGTTGCCATCAAAATGAGGGTAAGATAGCCCACACTCTTATTTTGTGAGGGCAACAGGGATGCCATGAATACACACAGCGTTCAAGTCTGTTCGACATATTTCAGGTTGGCCACCACATTACAGCTCAGAACAGAGTAACAGTGATATTGAACAAAGTTTTGAAGTGACACAGAGTCACTGAAGAGCTGCGACAAAAGAAAACTACAAATAACTTCAAAAGAGCAGCATCGGCTGCAAAGGTGCACATCTGACAGTACAAACACTTCCAGCCTCAAAGCTCGTGGGACACCAGACACCAGGCAGTGTTGGGTGAAGGCCACTACGATTAAGGCGGTGTGCTGAAGCTCCCTCGAGAGATTCTTTAGAAGCAAGAGCTACTCTGATGCACAGATATTGATCTGTGACATTTAAACCTCCACTATAACAAAAATAGAGCTGCACGTGTCGACAACTGTAAGCAGATCGGCCTCGCTACCGTCAGTGACTTGATGTCAAGCCGTTGAGCGATTGTTTTCTGTTTTTTGAGCCAAATCCCCTGGGAGAGTTTGAGATAGAACCTGCGCATCAGCACTCTTAACGCACCAGGAGATCTTGACGTGTTCAAGCCTGCTATAGTCAAGCAAAGTGGAACCAAAGGTTTACTTTGTTTATCAGAGCCTCCATTGGCTGAGCTGGAGTGTGCTGTAGTAAACAGCAAGAGTGGGTGGACTGGGAAGTCTCTTAATGTCAATCAGTGCTGAAAGAAAATGGCAAATTCCCATTTTGCTGCATCGATACTTAGCTGAAGGCGACTGGTTTTGCAAAGGAGCTTGAATGGGTTGACACTAAGCTGGGGAATTAAAGACGATCATGTCCTGAGAGCCATTGTCTGCCGTCACGGTTAGCACTAAGAATTAAGCAATAAAAAAATGAGATAATTTCAGTGGGGAATAAAGACTTTGGTGGTCAGTGTCTCTAGGCTTCAGATAACAAATTCAATTCACTAGGGCCTGTGGTCCTGTTTATGTAAGAATCACAGTGCAGCCTCAAAATGCTAATAAAGTGTCATTTTAAATCCTTATATTTTGCCACTATCATTCAAACCACTAAGGTTTACTCATTTGACAATTTTTTTTTACCATTTACAAAAAATGTTAAAAATAGATACTTTACTTACATTCTACCAACAATTTGCTACATATATTCTGTTATTTGAAACATTTAAATAAACACCTTACTTGCATTCTACCTACAATTTCCTACATATATTCTGTTATTTGAAATATTCAAATAGACATTGTACTTGCATTCTACCTACAATTTCCTACATATATTATAAAGCACAGTACAACAAGCACAATAAAGTGACTACCTTTATGTTCTAAAGTAAAACTCAGACTGCAGATTGTCCAGATGAAAGTTAAATGACTATTTTAACCATGGCGAGAAAGCTGGTCATTTCAAATCTGTAATTTCTAGAATATTGCTTCTCTTAATATCACGAAAGTATTAAAGTCACCCAAAAGGACTGGTCATCCAAGTAAGACAAATGCACAAATGGAAAGGACAATAGGGTGAATTTTACTTCAACTGGAATTGATCACTTTTGCTGTCTACAAATTAATTTTAAGGGTTCTGATGCTAAAAAGACATTGATAGGTCATGCAAACAATGCCAAAGGTGATGAACAGTCACTGGCAACCACAAAAATATAAGTCCAAAGACATAAAAAACATTCTGCTAGCCAGTGAAACACACCAAAACCATCCGACAGCTTCATAATCAGCTAGCACTGCAGCCAAGCAACTGGTCTTTTAATATGGCATTTCCATCCCTAACGAGTCAACGAGACATGGACCTGTTCAGCGCTAAACACGTCGCGCCCAGCAAGCCGCCATGTTCACAAGAGAGAAAG